TGGTGCTGCAGCTGAAAGCTGACAGAGGAAAGAGGGGTCTTGTGCGCTAAAGAAGACGTACCCAATGAGTCACATGTATCCACATCTCCACAACAGCCCCATTTGTCAGGAGAAAAGTAATTATGAGTATTAAAATACAACTCTGAAGGGGGAGAGCCTGGGCTCGGTGTTGTTCATTAGAGCTAAGCTCAGCACAGCACGCAGTGGTCAAAACAATAGCAGAAGGGTCTTGAGCCCTTTTTGCCTTTTGAGTCACACTCCAAAGTATTAAACAATTCGGTTTGTGCAGGTCAGGTTTAGGACACGACGCCCGCCCATGTTGACGTACAAGGACTCCAGCGTACCCCGAGGCTCACCATCCTCCGAGGTGTGATCTCAGTAGAAAAGCTCCTGCGAGCTGCCACGCCGCTGAAGCCGCCGCAGTGGCCTCCAGTAAGAGTAGCTGTGCAACTGGAATAGTTTCTTACTTACTAAGGTGCTATCTACAGGGTCCAGCCACACCAAACAGGCGCACTGCGTAGTGCCAGAGGTTATTAGTGGAGCTGGTGGCGGAGGGAAGATGACTAGCGTGCTATTTAGTTTCCTTTTCTGTGCTTTTCATTCTGCATTGGGGTAAGGGAAATGCCTGGGATGAGGTGAGCTCACATCTACCTCAAACTACTTGGGGCGAAATGGAAAACGATGAGATTTTTGTAGCAAATAAACCCAACCAAGCCATGCTAGCCTGTAAAGAAGGCCTGAATGGGGACTATTTCCACCAGCAGCCAGGAACAAATATTTAGAGGGGGCTTTGGGTATTTCTTTCCGAACCAGTTTTCCTCTGTAGCCTACCACCTGCCAATTCCCCACCAGGAAAATGAGAGACTGAAGAGAGAAATGAGAATGAACTCAAAGAAAGGACAAGTACTCCCCCAGTCCCCGAAAACAGGAGAACAAAATAGGGACTTTTACCATGGTAAGGGGTTTGCCCAAGGACTGATAGATCTCCAGACATCCTGGAGAGCTGCTGCGCTCACAGCTCATCTCTGCTGTCTGCAGCCTGCTGGGAAGATGGATCCCCCTCCACAGCTTGTAAAGACTTCGCTGTAATAATTTTGAGGGTGCAAGTAGAGCTGTGTGGTCTGGGGAGGGTCGGTGCCCAGCGCCATTCCAGCGTGGCACTTCTCCTGGTACACCCCTTCATGCGGGAGGAAATTCATACCAAAAGCACATTGACATCTACGGCTCCCTCTGTTCTACAGAAATAGCTGCCTGTAAACACAGCTGCGAAAGAGCCTCCTAGCTCCAGTATCTTTAGATACATCACTTTTTTTTTGCTTGTTTAGAAAAGAAAAAAAAAACAGAATTTTCACCATATTGTCTACTGAAGCTCCCAAAGCGTGCTAGCCATGCAAAGGAGCCAGGCTCCTGGCTCTGCCTTGAAACTCCTCCGGAGTCTATGTCTCCATCATTTTACCTTTTTTTTTTTATTTCCTAAGAGGAAAAAGCAGACAGGTCTCTCTTCTGTACTACCCCATATAGAACAATTTGGCCAATGAAACCTGCGGACTTGGTGGGCCTGAGCAAGTGCCAGCTGGATTCATGCCCTTCCTAGCAGGCCTCTGGTTCTTCTCCATTTCATTTTTCCTCCTATTTTTCCCGCTAGCTTTATTAGCACCTGGGAACTGATGTGTCACTACGGGCAGCTTGAATTTACAGCGCTGAGCTCTCGCTTCAGAGCGCCACCAACCTTTTTTCCAGTCCCACCAGTCTCTCACGTACCTGGCACAGCAAAGACGCTCACAACCACGTGGCAAAGAGAGCAGTAGGAGCGCCAGAGCTGTAGGTGAACTTAGGAGAAGGATCCTGGAAAAGGGCTGGAAAAGGGCTGTTTTCCTGCAGGAACTGTTTGAGGAAGCTTTTGGTCCCTTCACTGCCCTAAAATCTAATGGTCCCAGCACTGTTGTGATGTGTTGAGGGTTAAATCCTGCATGGAGAGGGAAAAACTGGTAAGGAGAAGAGCAGTTCAGATGGTTGCGTTCAGCCTCTTGCAACCTCAGCCTTGGCCCCACCAAACCTAGGAACAACCGCCATTTCCAGCTTGTTTTGGAGGCTCC